GATCCCGATTAAAACGAAAGAGAAGTGAGGTTAGGAATTGGCAATTCCGAGTGGTCGGGCAAAGATGGTGGATGGAACGCATCGGCCGGGAGGCGAGGCTCGGCTTGACCAATCGCATCGATCGATCGGTCTGACGGAAACGAAACGAATGCGGAATCGCGTGCCCGAGAGGGGCGAGTGGTCGACGGCCGATGTGCGGACTGCAGTAGTTTCCGCTTTTATCGACACTCGTGCTTCCGAGCCCCCTCTACGCGGTGCGCGTGCGACACGCGTTCGAAGTGGAACGCCGGTTGCTGCACCTTTCGCATAGATTATTCTAACCCTTCTTCCCCCCCAAACACAATTAATGGCGTAATTAAAAGCGGAAATGTCAAGCGAAGTGTGGAATTTACCGTCGTGACAATGACTTTTCGGTTTCCATTTCCTAACCTAATTTTAATGCGTTCCAATAGTTGCAGGTTTATACGATGTTTAAAGTACTCGACAAATCAATGAACGAGGTTGTTAACTCCTGTTTACAGAAATATGGTTTACTTTTGTCTAGCGCTGACATTTAGAAGGAAGTCTGTAGTTGTTAATTGCATCGCTTTAGAGTATTACAGGAATTAGGAAGTAGTTTCGTCGAATTGAATCATGGTTTAGCCTGCGTTCATTGAACTAAAAGAGTTGCGGCGTATATAGAAGTTAAGGAACGTTTCTAATTATAGTGACAAACATTTCACCGGAATGAAATCCGAGATAACGATACCAAATTATAAGTCGAGCTTTTCATAGCTATACATTGAATGCTCGATTCGCTTTCATGCAGCCTCCTTTTAATCGCACAATGAAAATTCCCTTAATACCAGAATATCCTCCGAGTAATCTACGATACCAAATATACATGAACTCGTGCACAATTTTCTGCTACGAAGAAAGGTTCGCATTAGAAGACCATCTTCAAAAATACATCCTTCGTAACAGAAAACTCGAGTGCTTTGAACGAACAAATCGAAACTCTATCGGAAGGCAGATCGAAACCTTAAACATCTTTCCGTGTTTACAGGGATTGAAATTGCCATAGAGATCCAAGATCCAAGTATCCAAATAAGACAGCTAAATGAAAATGACTGCGCAGCATGTCTATCGCTGTAAACCTTCCGATATGACAAATAAAGTATCGAGAAGGAAATCAGTTTAAAAGGCTTCGAAGAACCTAAGAGCTTCGACACCCAAATATTCAATGTTATCCATGGAGCCCAGAAAATGCCAGTTTTCTGGGGGTCCTGGAGTTCTTACGGGTGCAGGTCGGTTCGCCGAGGTCTAGAACCGTGGATATTAAGTTTGGTCGGCGGCGTCTTAAACGGGAGCACCTCGTCGCCGTTCCGGAGGCCCGGGGCGAAGGGCCGGCCTCTGGAGGGGGGGCGCTCCGACGCCGGCGGTTCCTCTCCTGGGGAAGCGCGCCGGGTCAGCCCTCGGCGTCGGTTTCCGGGCCGGATCGATCGGGGTCCGTGGCGCTTCCGTCGCGGTCACTCGAACGGGCCGGCCTCCTGCACTCGGTCTCGCGGTCGCGCACTCGCGCACTCACCCGCAGAACGTGTCGAGCCTCGCGAACCCTGGCCACCTCCGCACCTAATGCGCGCTCTCTCGGCCGCTCGCGCCGCCGCGGGCGCATCGTATGTACGCCCGGGACCAACGGCCTCCGTAGACCCGCCACCCCGGCGAGACGAACGAGGTTCGCCCGCGCGCCGACAGGCGGCACCTTGGTCGCGGACGCCCAAGAAGGGTTGCGGTAAGTAGAGTTCTAAATCCAGTAAGTTACGTCAGAAACGAAGAGAAATTCCCGGTAACTTATCGGTCATTTCTCCAAAGCCTTTTTCATCGAGAAATTATGAGAATTTGAATTTTTCAACAGATCGAACGAGAGGTTTCGATTAGCTATAGAGAAACATCTTAGAGGGGAATTTCCGTTGTACGTTCTCCGTAGCCAATCAAAACCTCCCATTCGCTTCGTCGCAGAATGAAATATTAGTTCGTTTGAAACAAATCGCATGGAATTTTCCGTGAAGTTGTAGATACGTGAATATTTTTAGCTGGAGGTAAATACGACCCTATAATCAATATTTTCTAATAGTAATTATTACTCTATAGCTTGAACTTTGAAGTTGATTGAAAAAAAAAATTATTTAAACGAAGAAACCTAAAGTATAAGTAACAAAATTAACGTTCTCTTAAATTCTCAATGTTCGAACTCTACTTATCGCCGATAAGTTACCGGGAATTTCTCTTCGTTTCTGACGTAACTTACTGGATTTAGAACTCTAGCGATAAGGCGCATTTAAGGCGAATTTAAGGCGAATTTACACCGTGGCAGTAACTCGTAGGAGTCACTAAAACCGAGTATTCCTCGTCTGGGGTAAACTGCCATTCCAATACCGGGGCGTTTATTACGTATTTTTGACGAGAGCGCTCACTTCTCGCCCTGTCATCTCATGTGAGTTTATTCGCCGAGTTACGTATTCGCTATATGAAAGAACGAGATCACTAGCACTACCGGTCTAGTAATATTGTAAATAAAGTAAATCGAAAATTATTAAGAGGTAGGGAGTTATAGGCAGGAAAGGCGGGAAGATGGAAAGCCGTTAAGAGTAAAGAAGAGGACCCGAGTATATCTATATTTTTTAAATATGTATTACGTTCATGTTTACATGTACTATAATTAGAAGTGCAACGATATAATTTTCTTATCGTGTCATGTAAGCATGAATTATTTAACAGTCTTCAATGTTTAATGATGTAATATAACCTCGCAATAACAAAAACTAACCTGTACACCCTAGTAAATTCTCTTTCTTCTAACGAAAATAGGTCCGAGACATCACGTAATTCCCTTCTTCTTCTAATAAGATTATTATTACGTCCCCGAATACGATTGTTGCCAAAAATCAAAACACCCAGGAGGTTTTCCATTTTGACTTTCGGTGTCACAATCCGCGGAAGAAGTTCACGGTGCTTATTTTTCTATTTTTTCTTATATGCTTTGCGAAGCATCACCTCGCACCTCCTTTTCGCTATTCCTGGAATTAAACTGTGGAGATAGGAGCGTGGCGCCATCGCGCCAACGGAGTGGCAACTAACCGCTCATCCACCTCAGTTTCAAACCACTTAACGTCCCCGAGAAACCTTCTTTAGGTAAACTGTTTACTACGTTGCTTCTAAACGTACATTCAATTTTCATGTTGAGATTTATGGAACATCGCAGTAACTAGGTAATATTTTACTTTCAAGAAGCCCCATCTGCACTTCCTCGGCGCAAATTCAGACAATTCCACCGGATCCCACGTAGTTGGACGTTAACGAGCGAAAAAAAAAAAAACGGCTGCATAAATTACTTGCACTCCATTTTACGTATAAGTAATGTCGTGCACACTCCCATTTAGAGGACGCATTTCAGGAGAGGCGTTAACTCGTTTAACGGCGCAAAAGGTATTTAAAAAAAGAAAGTAAAACCGAGTCACATTAGCGGAAACGAACTAGAGTAAGTTCATTTGTCGACGGCTTGAAACTTCTGAGGAAAATTTGCTATATATAGATTATATTAAATTTGCCATATATAGATTATATTAAATTTGCCATATATAGATCTTCCAAGTTCTCGTATCTTCGGATTTGTTGTAGCTGTATTTCATTTTTAGTGGTAATTACGTTTTATGACGAAGGGTCGACCTGGTCAACATCGTACATCATTTAAGCATGGCCTCGACCGAACTTTGTTGACCTGACGACATAGTTAAAGGTTCATTACCACGTTAACGACTCCATCTTGGTGATTGAGGAAAGTGTGGTATTTTGATTAATTAAATTCGTCCTAACAGCGCGCCCCTTCGTGAATTAAATAACACCCTATCAAACACGGTTACTTAACAATAATATAACTGTTACATAACTTTTGTTACATGTAATGTAACATACATATAGAATGTTTATTAATTATTAAATAAAATTTCATATCACCTTAAAGCCCTGGAATAGCCCATTGGCTGTAAGAATTATAAATTAAATTTTGTGTACAAGAAATGTATAAATAAAACATTAAACGCGTTTTCTCAAAATAGCGATAGCAATTGTTTAAATGGTACCCGTAATATCCCAAAAACGGATGACTGAATCCACTTGAAATTTCACAGCTATATTTTGTGGATGTCTAACCCTTGCTGGAATTAGAATTGTTTCAATTCACTTTCATATCACCTTAACACTCCGTGGTCGAGTTATCCGTACAATGGCGGACACGAATGCCTCCCCTGCAGATACGGCATCGCCTGTGCAGGATGGGAGGGCATTGATGTCTCCCAGTGTACAATGGCGGACATAAATGCCTCCCCTGCAGATACGGCATCGCCTGTGCAGGATGGGAGGGCATTGATGTCTCCCAGTGTACACGTGGCACATCTCTACATCCAACTCCGCAGTAGTTAAAGAGTTAAAAAGTGCGCAATTGGTCTCGGAAAAGAAGTCCTTAGTCGCGAGTCCTCCGTGCGCACGAAGAAGAGGAAGAAGAGTGTACAAAACGTAATGTTTATAATTGAATTAGTGTTAGCATTTGTGTTGTTCAAGTTGTGATCATGCGAGCGATGGCTGGGAGTCGTTTGCTTTGTTGACAGAAGAAGATAATCCTCGCCTCTCTTGCGACGTGGGGCGTCGAAAGCTGACCTACGGCGGTTAGGTTTGTGAGCACGGAAGGACGCTCGGCGTCCAACCGGGGCCACTACGAACCAGAGACAGCTAACGCCAATGGCGGGCTGGGAAATTTAGGTGCTGACGTGACCGTGCGGACTCCAAAGGCGAGCCCAATCGGGGCCGTGTAAACTACCCGAGCTGGGCGAGGATTAGGGGTTGATAAGAAAAGAGAGACGTTCCCAAATCCATATAAAGGGGCGGCAGATGACGATTGCAGTTAGTTAGGTCTTTGATTAATTTCCGAGCCACCTAGCACGGTCACACGAATCGAAGACGAATAAAAGAAATATTGAAGATCGGTTGGAAATGGCGATCTTTCGTGCGCATACAAAGAGGAAGAAGAGGAAAATGAAGAAGAGGCTCACTCACCTTGCATGGGGCGCGTGGCGGCGCTGCGCGACATCGTTGCGGCGGGCCACGGTGATTGGACGGACGTCCGGCGCCAACGGGAATGCCGGGCGGCTCAGGATGCACCTACCCTGGCGCAGGGGGGGCATCAGGGGACCCGGGGGCCCGGGGCCCTGGGCAGGACTCGGATTTCGACTCGGAATCGGGATCTGGGGGGTCCCGCGGGGCCCGGGTCCATGTGGCGTGGGGGACCGTCACCGCCACCTCCTCTCCGGAGCGCCCCGACTCCCGACGACGGCCGCCGCCCGGGATCGGGACCGGGACCCAGCCCACCACCTCACTGCGGGCAAGGTCTCCCTGCAATGCAAAGAGGCGGCGATATTAGTACCTCGACTGGACCTCTGCATTCGCGGAAACGGGCAATAAGGTGATATGAAAGACGCTGAGAAATTTAATCGACGTCGATCTTTCACGGATTACATTTTTCTGGTTGTCGGTCCTTTTTAAATGGAAGAATAAAAATTCCATTTTTAAATCCATGATTATGGCTTTTGAACGCGTCACCATCATAAGTGTACATTTTTTTATTTAACCATTTCAATAATTATAATTATTTTCAACATTTTCTATTTGTGCAAAATTGTGAAATACGCTGCAAAGGAGGCAACGGTTGGGATAAAAGAATTATTTTTTACAAAAGGGAGGACCCCATTCTCCATGAATTTCCCTACACCCTAGAAATTTAGTGCTCGCTTTCCTACTTTTATTTTGTTCGCATTGTAGGCGAATGGCTACTACACCACAATATCGGACACCTTGGATTTGCCTAAAAATTCAGCGTTTCGTGCGCCTCATTACAATAAGAATTTACACATTAATGTATTCATAAGGACAATACCCGGCAGGACCGAGTTAATAACGAGAAGAAAAGTAGGAAACGGTGCCGCATTCTCAATGAATTTTCCCCCTGGCATACAAATTTATTAATAAATTCCAGACATCTTATCCTAAATTTTCTCGCCGTTGTAGACGTGTGACTATTTTTTTTCTGGTTTTCAGTGATGGTTCTTTGCAGCACCTATTTTGGCCTGCAGTATCCGTTAGGACACCTTAGCCAACTCAAACTATTAAACTGTTTTGTGTATAATTCCTTTGTTCTGTATTTGAGTTTGTCTTCTTTATGGCTTGTAAGAGCATGAGGAGCTAATAGGTCTCCATGCGATGGTTTCTTTGTGTGGTGACACGGCGTTACTACAACGTCTCCCGCGTGCTTTGTTTCTGTGTAGCTCTTAATATCTTGTTATGTTGTTTTGTTTGTCGCCTTGGGTGTAGTTATTTTAATGCACTGGATTTTGTTGTGTGGTGACGCAGTGTTACTAGAACGTCTCCCTCATGCTTTGTTTCTGTGTAGGTCTTAATATGTTGTTATATTGTTTTATTTGTCGCCTTCTGTGTAGTTATTTTAATGCACTGGTTTTTGTTGTGCGATGACGCGTCGTTACTAGGATGTCTCCCTCGTGCTTTGTTTTTGTGCAGGTCTTAATATGTTGTTATATTGTTTTGTTTTCTGTTTTGTTCGTTGTTGTTGATGGTTTTTTGAAGGCGGTTTATATTTTTTATAAAATCGTTCAATCTGGGTACTGTCTCGCGGTGACAACAAATGAAATCCTGCATGCATGACGAAAAATATTATTTCATACTTAATCGAGGTACTCTTAATTTCTTTTTTGAAGGCGTTTTATATTTTATATAATATCGTTCAATCTGGATACTGTCTCGCGGTGACAACAATTGAAATCCAGCATGCGTTGCGAAAAATATTATTTCATACTTTGTCGAGGTGCTTTTCTTTTCTTTTGTGAAGGCGGTTTATATTTTTTATGAAATCGTTCAATCTGGGTACTCTGTCTCGTGGTTGAGCGATAATCGCCACGAGGCCACGGCGGACAGCTCAGATTTGCGTCCGAGTGCGGCGTTTCGTGCGTCTCTCCGGAATGGCGTGTCCCGGCCGATAAGCAGGAACCTGCTTTGCCCCATCGCCCCCGGAGGTCACGGAACGCACCCTCAGGGTCACGACCGCGCCCTCCGCGGCGATCGATGCCCCCAAAGTAAGCCCGAGGTGTTCGTCAATCGAATCGGACGAGCGGCATACATTCGCCTTCCCAAGAGCCCTAAAGGTGAGGGGGCATTCACCCAGGCAGTCATGAATTTTAAGGTTAAGTGAAACAAGCAGAGGAACTTGATCGACATCGATAAAGAAGATTTTTCTAAATGCCTACGTTGCCGACGTTCGTTTTTATATCGACAGCTGTGTCAGATTATATTGGATATTGTACCAAATGGCATACTCCACCTGTTGTTTTCGTACAATAAATATCAGGAAATCGAAGTAAATGTCCAGAAATCCTCTGAATTCATGCGTTCTGGGGCCCTAATTGACTGTAGAGGGACCCCCTGCGCCATCTGTGATTTCCAGGCCAATTCAATTTTCACTCCGAGACCCCGTATTCCCATCGTTTTGGCACAGAAGCGCATACAACACTTGTTTGCCTTTATCCCGTTGAAATGCGAGTGTATCGATTGCCAGAGTGCTCTAAATTGTCGTAAAATTGTCCTGACCCTTTCGTTTCTCATATCAGAGCCTTCGATAATTGTATATTGATCGAAATATGAGAGCTCGACGCCATTTTGGTTTTGGTCTGGGCTAAGTTAACAAATTTTTGTCCAAAAATCCAAATGTTGAATGTGTCAGGACAATTCTTAGATGATCAGGAGTGACGTGTCAAAGTTTCGGACAGTTTGGTCTAATACCCTTAAAAAAAAGCGTTGTATTCGAATCGACTGATTTGAAGGGGGTTTCACTTCACCTTAACGTCCCTTTCCAAGTTCCTTTGCCCCAAATCGGGCTGCATTGTAAAATGCAGCCCATTTTTGCTCTCAACCTATCCTCGGAGATCCTTCCAAAACTCCGCTCTTTCAAAACTTTCTCCAAGGTCTCCTTATCCTAAGATTTTCATCGCCAAGGCAGAATTTGTCCATCCTACAAAAAAAGAACTTTTCTCGGCACCGACGCGACTAGCCATTAGTTTCAACGAGAACTCTTTCACTCGGGTCGTAATATACAAACATTGTCGCATATACGCAAATAAACATTTATTATTGATGGAAATGGGAGAATGAATTATCCAATAGTAAAGTTGATTTGATTTCATTAACTTAATTTCACGAGGAAGGACCATCTGTACAGTACGAACTTCTCCAGGAGACCAGCAACGCAAGTTAGGGTCACAGACTCCACAAGTCGTCATCGGCTATTGTTGGATTTCGAGTAGGTAAAAGTCGTGTAGGATAACTAAACCTACTTTATTACAAATCCGTTACACTTTAGACTTAGGCTATTGTGAGTTCGCTGCGATCTTCTCCGTTTCCAGTCCAGTCTTATTCTTATCTTTTCTTTTAGTTAAAAGTTACCATGGTTAGTTTAAAAGGTGGGGAAAACTAGTGGACCAATGGGAACTGAGTAGATAGGGTGGACTTCGGAAAGGAAGAGGAAAATAACTAACATAAATCATGGGGGCGAAGGATAAGCTCTAGAAATCATCTGCAGATGGCTGAGTCGTTCAGTAAATAGTTTTGAAAGTTTCGGGCCCTAGTTATCGATGGGTGACTAAAGCGTTTACTTTTAAATCTAATCGCTATCCAACACTATATATTAGGTTGTCCCATAAGTTTCTTCCCTTTTTTTTCATAGGACATGAATACACGATGCGGAAGGAACTTATGGGACAACCTAATACAAAAGAACCCTTGGTTCTTTCGCTATCTAAATCCTATGTTTATGTTTATGTGACACCGATATTCTCTGCGTCGATTTGTTTCTGAACCCAGTGTGTGGCCTCACTTACATGCTAGTGTATACTATCGGGGAATAGGAAATAACAAATTCCATTAACTCTTTCGTTACCTTGGACGAGATATCTCGCGACCCAATACTGGCCGATTAACGCTTTTGACGAGATATCTCGCGATCCGATAGTAGCGGATTAACGCCTTTGACGATAATCTAGCTTTCTAGCACCAACATTTTGACATTCTAGATGAATATATTTTATAACTAATTCTATTCGTATAGCTAAAAGGAAGATATAAATACAGCTACTACCGGATCGCGAGATATCTCGTCAAAAGCGTTAATCGGCCAGTATTGGGTCGCGAGATATCTCGTCAAAAGCGTTGATTGGCTTGTATCGGGTCGCGAGATATCTCGTCAAAAGCGTTAATCGGCCAGTATTGGGTCGCGAGATATCTCGTCCAAGGTAACGAAAGGGTTAAATAATCCAATAATTATTACCCGAAAATACTTGCGGGAGTTTCCGTTAAAGTTAGCGCGAGATCCGTCGCACTCTAGTGCACGGAACACCCCGGTCTCCTCTGCTGGCACCCATCACCTCTCCAGGTCATGCGGGGACATACGCACCGAGGCTAATTAGACGTTTGAAGGCCGCCTTCGTGCACTCGCGGCAATTCCTACATACATAAGCCGGCTCTCGGCCGATGGTCAATCGACTCGCAGACCCACCGGCTCTACAGCTTCTTTAGCTATTCAAGAAACCTCCGCTCGACCGCGAAACTTTCTGCATGCCTGACGTGTACCTGCGGCTCTAAACCGCGTCCCGATCGGCCGTTACATAATCACTCCAAATACGCTTTCTGAATTAGGTATGAGCGCACTCTGAACTTTCTTCCCTCCCATTGCTGCCAATTGAAAAGATACACGTCATCGGGCGCCGTTCATCGTCGGAAGAAACCGATTCGTTAGGTGGCCGAAATGTACATCGCTTTGCCTTTCAATCGTTTGCTTTTTGACGTATTCCGATGTATTGACAATGTTAACCCCTTGCCTTACGATTTAAATCCCAATTGCGCGGGCCATAAACAACAAAAATGTCGGTCATATATCGAGCCATTTCACCGTTTCGCTGAACGTTCAAAGTTTCACACGTCTCTTATACGTTTTGTTCACGTTTGGTCCGATTGCATTACCACGTCTCTCATAGGTTTTGTTCACGTTTGGCCCAATTGACGTATCACGTCTTTCACACGTTTTGTTCACGTTTGGCCCGATTGACATACCACGTCTCTCACACGTTTTGTTCACGTTTGGCCCGACTAAAATACCACATCTCTCACACGTCTTGTTCACGTTTGGTCCGATTGACATACCACGTCCCTCACACGTTTTGTTCACATTTGACCCAATTGACAGACCACGTCTCACACACGTATTGTTCACGTTTGGCCCGATGGATGGATGGATAGAACTTTTCTCCCAACTCGATTTACCGAATAGTTTGAAA